TGATTCGTCACTATGTAGTTAGAACTGGAAATGGTCCCAAAAAAGGCCTTTACATCTGTGCACTGCAGAGAAATTAATTGCTTAGTATGGAGGAGGCTATACAAAACTACCAGCTCTGTTATAGCATCGGCAATGCAAGAATTTTATTTGGTTGCACATTCAGACTATACTCTGCAGTAATGAAAAATTCAAAGCAGACTAATTGCTTGAGACTGCAAGTTACTACTCCGTGTGACAATGAGGTTGGCAGCAGCAGTATCTGGGTTCCATGAACTGGAATACTCGATGGCCTAGCATCCAACGCTGGCACACCATATGTTTTTGTTTGCCAGCATTTAGCTACTTCTTTGCATGCGACATGTAGTAACTATTACTATCTGTATTTGGCATTCCAAACTTGAGTACTCCTCCGTCCCAAATTATAAGTCATTCTAACTTTCTTGGAAAGTCAAATCATCTCAAGTTTGACCAAAATTATAGAGAAAATTACAAAGATTAATGATATCAAATAGATATACTATGAAAATATAATTAATGAAGAATTTAATAATACTTATTTGGTATCATAAATGTTATTATTCTATTATATAAATTTGGTTAAACTTGAGATGCATGATACTTATTTGGAATGATTTATAATTTGGGAAGGAAGGAGTAGATCCTAATGTCTAATGGCCTTGATTGACAGCTGAAATAGACGTGTTATAGTGAATTCCCATGCAAGTTTTGCAGTTGTGGATTGATGGGATCAAGATTTATCCATCTTATATGTTTGGTTTGATTAATATTTCATTTCCACTTGTATGAGTGATGCAAATTAATAGATCATGTGTTGCTTTAACTTCATTATTAATGCCAACAGTGTTTTGAAAAGCTTTCTTATGACATCAACAAATTGAATTAACATAGTTTTGTTACCCGTAGCAACGGATGGGCATCAGCTAGTCAAGGAAAAAGTCCGAACCACCCCATCTAAGTTCTGTTAAGCTCAGCTAATTACTCAGAATTAGTTGTCATTAATATTTATTATCTAAAATTTAATTATGATTATATATTATTAGCTATAATCCTTAATTTTTATATATATTTCATGATGATTTGTGACAAGTCAAGTTACAATTAATAATATTAATTAAGCAAGCATTAGTACTAATTAGTGTAGTTTGTTGATGCTTACAAACATAAAAATAGTGTTTAAAAATAATTAAAGAAATTTAAATATTTTAAAGAGAATTTTTGGAAAATGAAATGAAATTTTTTCAAATAACTAATTTAAAGACATGGTAGATGCGTTTTTATCTTCCGAATCATTTAGAGGATTTTTTTTTGCAATTCAAATTTGTGCAAATATGTTTTTGGCAAAACTTTTTTCTGAGGGCGTCATTTTAAACCGTTATAACGGATGACGGGATGTCAAATTAGGGATGAAACCGAGTGTCAAATAGGGAACGAAGAAAATTTAGGACCAAGAAAAACTCATTTTTCAGTGTCAAATAAGGAATTCTCTCTTTAAATAACTAAACACATTTGTGTATCTTCCCATAGGATCAACTTAATACAATCATGTGCCATCTCATACCGGTATCCCACTATACTCAAACTATTCTATCCATGATCATCTGGTCAGCTGAACTGTCCCATCTAGGATGAAATTGATTTGAGCAACCAAACACTACCTAAGCATATGCTTGCAAAATTTTGGCTTAGATATTTATTTATTTTTACAAAAAAAAAAACAATTTTAAAAAAAAAAAAAAAAAAAATCACATGCTTGCAGCCTGCCTGAAGAAACCTGGGCCTTCGTACGAGCTCGGCCCAAAAGGAAAGGACGCCGCAACTGCTCGGATGCAGGACGCCTACCCTTTTTTCTCATCACGTTCTGACGTTCACACCCCGGAGTGCGCGCGCTGCGCTCACCCCCTCCCTCCCTTCCCCTCTCTCTCTCTCTCTCGATCTCGCGCGCGGCGCGGCCTTGCTTTCTGGTGGCGTCGACTGGGCGGCCGCCGCCGCCGCCTCCCTGGTGTCCAGGTCTTCGTCGGTCCCTTGGTGTCTGTCCCTTAGCCTGGTCTTCGTCGGTCCCTCGCCCTTCGCCGGCGACGACCACCAACCAGGTATGCCCACCCCTTTGCTCTCCCTTGAAACCGAGCACCCAAACCCTAGCTAACGTAAGCTATTTGGGTTTTCGTACTCGGATCTCATCTAATTACCAATGTCTACATGTCTATGCTACTAACGATTGGGTCCGCTCCTGATCCATAGTGCTGGTGCAACGGATCGTTAGGTTTTGCAATTCTGTGTGTTTTGAACATAGTAAGGCTTCGATTTTGGCGATCAGGGGGAAGTGGGGGCGGATGGTTAGTAGTTTTGCGGGCAATTGAGTTCACTGTATGCAATTTGAGCTGTCACTGTTTTTGTGTGGTTTTTTTAGTGCGAAGTTGTATTTGAGAACACTTTCAGAGCGCAGAATTTGCTCAGCTGCTGAGATTTGTAGACGTCCTAGCTGTTGGTTTTAGCTACAAATGCTGTTTCTGAGGGTCAATACGCAAATTATTTATGTTGGTTTATGATGCTAGTTTTCTGCAGCAGACGATACTTAGTTTCCATACCTGGGGCTGAAATGCTGTTCCCTGTGTGTAACTACTGATTTCCCTTTAAGTATGGTATAAGTCGCGACCTCTAATTTTACTGAGAAAAATCCTTTTGTAGTTCGGTGTTGAGGTTAATAAACTGATATCAAACAGAAAATGACCTATTCAAATCCACAGTTGATCGAGTCAATTCGTTTGCTTGCTTGGCTAGTTGGCTTGCTCTATAATCTTTGCATTAGCTTGTGGACATGTTTGAATAAAAAAGCATATAAAGTTCTCTGCAGTAGTTGATTGTCTAGAATGCTGGAATTACTCCAAATATTTATCCAACAGTGTATTTTCAGCTTATTCCTTGCATTTCTCAGAACTTGTCTCTGCTTTGGACCTTTTATAGTTTAGGGGGAGCAGATGGGTGACTGAACAGAATTGATGTGAGACCCGAGATAGACCAAAAGGCACAGTTGTTTTTAATCTTATTGGTCAGTAATTTTAGTGCCCTAACCAACATATGCCAGCCTATAAGTAATAAAATATGACAATGGTTTTATGATTGATAGAAGTTTTCTGTTTTGGAGGCTATTATCAGTGGACAGCTAGTTACCGTAACTGTAACACATCAGGTCATCTTGCGGCATGGAATTGTTCATCTTAGGAATACCTTATTTATCTCTTTTTACAAACAGAACATTAGAAATTCTAGATCAACAAAATGTATGAAGGCCTATCACATCATTTTTACGAAGTTAAATCTTCAATTATGAGAAAGATGCCATAGTTCTTTCTTTTTTACATACTTGCTAAAATCTGGATTAGATTTTTGGAAGGCATCGTGGCAAGCTGTTCCAGAGTGTTGTTTTAAGAAGACTGATTAGATTGTTATTAAATTAATGGGCTAATAACATACAGCATAAGTGTTTTGAACAATGAAATGCTTAAAGGTGAAACTCATGACTACAACATATGTGATACAGAATTAGATGATGTGTTTTGTGAAGGATTTAAAGTAGTTCTGGATAGGACAATTTAACACATAATTTTTACTTGTTTTACTCATCAAAATCTTTTGTCAAAAAAAAATTCTGTATCGTGTGATTGTGTCCATGGAATTGTGTTATAATGAGCCTCAATGCTGGGCATATAAGTCCAGAACTGATTTTATTTGCTCTTCTTAATTATATTGCTTATGCAATTCTATGCCTTCGCCTTCAGACTTGTCGTAAGATTGAGTAGCGAACCACTGGTGGTCCTGAACATGTTTTCACTTCTCAATATGTAATTCGTACAGTTGGGCTCAAAGGACCAGCCACTGAGGAAACTCCCACTAAGTTAGTCACACTAGAAAATGGTACATGCTACTGTTAGATGTACCACTGAAGGGAATGAAATTGTTTATCTTTATATCTGGTTACTAAACAAGTGAGTTCAATGGATAATAGAAGCGTTTATTGGGTTTTATCTTTTCCTCTTAAGTGACACACTTCGCCATTGGCCAATTACATTGGGGCCTGTCAACGTTGGTCCTTCCTGCCTTGTAAATGTACCTATTGTCCTCAAAAACAGGTCCAATTCCAAATAAGCAAAATGACTGAGGTTTCCAAACTTCTTATTTAAAGAGAGATACACTTTTCAATTTTACCAGTTCTAATAGTATGTTAATGGCATGCTCAAAATGGACAAAGTATTTATCTCTATGGATCCATGTTGTGATACGTGGAAAACATAGTTCATCTGAAACTGTGGATACCTTTCTTTTTTTATTTGGTAAGTCCCAAATTCATAGCAGAAGCACCGTAAAAACTGTTTAATATGGTAGTATAGTACTTCCTATCCTGCTTGAACACAATGAAAGATATTATTGATGAATAAAAGCATCTCTGTGATGTATGACCCAATGCAGTGCAGTATAAACCTGAGTAGCAGGAACTTCAATAAAACTGCTTGTATTTGTTTCAAAAATACAAACTGTTGCTTCATTATTCACTATTTTCTTGTTAGTGTCTCATGTTAATATTTAATCTTGCTGTTAGATATGCCTTTTTTATTGAAAAATTCAAGTCTTGGTGGAGGTCATGCTTTCGTAATACAAACTGTTGCTTGCTTCATTATACTATGTTATCCACAGTAGTTCCTTGTTGCTCAAAAAAGATGTGTACTGTTCTGTAGTTAAAACATAAAACTATTGCACCAAAGAAGATAAATGCCCACACCAGTACACCACATGTCAGTGATTTTCAACATATATTGATCTTGTTCCTATGTAGTCTTCATCCATTTCCAGTTGGATTTAGTTCTGGGATATGAATAATGCACTAGCCATTTATCTTTGTTTTTTCTTTTTCATCTCTTAAGTCTTATTTCCCTGCCTGTAGGCTCAACTGCTCTGTAGTTAATCTAATAATTTCTAGAAACAAAATGAAGTGCAATGCTTGCTGGGGGGAGTTGGAAGGGCAAGCTATATCAACCACCTGTGGTCATCTTTTATGTATGGTTCCACTCTACTACCTTCTCTCTGATGAATTTGATCCCGATTCTAAATAAGTTACTCTCTAATTATTACAGAATACACAATTTAATGTAGCTGGTAATTGCTTATTTAGCAGGTGCAGAGGATGCCAAGAAAATACTCAATAATGATGGTGCATGTCCAATTTGTGATCAGGTGCTCTCAAAAAGGTCAGTTTCTATTTGATGGTGCATGCATTATTTGATTGTGCATGGTTAATGGTGTCATCTTTCCTGTATGAATGCCTGATACCTAATTGTGCAAGCATATTTCTCATGTCTCCTCTCTGTGTGATATTTAACTGTGCCAAAGCATATCAACCAAACATACATGATTGTAGCGCATGTTATTGAGCATTCTTTGGTTGTTTTACTGTCTACGTTCAGGCAAAAATTAACTTGAAAATTTTGATTCATTTCCTTTTTCCAGCCATATGAAACCTATGGATATAAATCCAAGTGACGATTGGACAAATGTAGGTATCCCTTTGATACATAATAACTGCTACAAATTAATTTTCCTTCTATCCATCTTTTCTGATGAATGTGCTCAATGCTCATGGCAACAGATGGCGATGGTTGGAATATCCCCACAAATACGTATCCTTCATTTCCCATTAACCTTTCACTACATTCACAGTGGGGTTTGTCTTGTACTGCTTTTTTTGATAGCATAGTAATCTGCATTTTCCAATCTATGCCTAATTACACTACTTAATAACATGTTTAAGTAGCACTATTATGCAACCAATCTTAGAGCGTAAATGGGGAACTTGGTAAAGCATAACAATGGCATTACTTTTGTGACCTGTGTCTGGTTAAGAAGTTCAGTAGGTATGCTTTTCCTTAAATATGATGAAAATCAGTTATGAAGAGTGCGTACAGAAGCGTAATGTTCTACATTGGACAAAAGGAACTGGAGATGCAGTACAAGATGAACAGAATTGTCGGTCAATGTAGGCAAAAGTGTGAACTTATGCAGGCAAAATTTACTGAGAAACTGGAAGAAGTCCATACCGCATACCAGAAGATGGCCAAAAGATGTCAGTTGATGGAGCAAGAGAATGAAAACTTGAACAGAGATAAGCAGGAGCTGCAAGAAAAATTTGCTGAGAAATCCAGGTTAGTAATGTGCCAGTATTCTCTTGATCCTTTAGAGGAACAAATTCTGTTCCATCCTGTATGTATGAGGATTCAGGGTGTCCTAATCCTGTCCAGGCAGAAGAGGAAGCTTGATGAGATGTATGACCAATTGAGGAATGAATATGAGTCGCTGAAGCGTTCAGCCCTTCAACCTGCAAATAACTATTTAGCAAGACCTCAGCCAGACCTGTTCGCAGGTATGTCCAACATGATGGATGGTGGCAACCATCTGAGACAAGGTAACTTAAAACTTCTGTGCACACAATTTGCTCTGTTCATTATGTCCCTCATACTGGCTATATCATTATACTTTTCTCTGTTCACACAAACTACTTCTGTTATGCATCAAAGCCTCAATTATGTTAGGTGCAACGCTTTGATTCTTTACACTGTACCTAGAAACTATGTTAGGTCTCCACAAAAACAGCTCATTCACTGGTTGCAGGATCGGTTGATCTTCCTAAAACTCCAGGGCAGAGAGATGAGGGCTGGGGTCCACCACCAAGGCAACGTCACTCCACCTCCGGTCCCTTTGAGCTGTCTACGGGGTCTCCTGGCCATGCCATGGCTCCTCCGGCTGATATCAGGCCCAGACAGCAGACACGGCCCGTCCTCGGAGCTACAATGAACAATCCATCCAGCGCCCTGCGAAACTTCATAATCTCGCCTGTCAAGCGTCCCCAGGTGTCCCGTAACCGCCAACACATATTCACGTAATGCTATCTCCCCTTTGCTCATGCGTAGTGGAAGCAGTATTTGTTCAAACTTTACTGACCACATGGCTATTGAGTTTCTGCACTGACGGATCAAACCTTCAAACTGGTGTTTCAGGCTGTAGAGAGTGGGAATAGCTGACGGCCAGGGTGCTCTGCATTGGAAGTTAAATTGTCGGAAGCTTGCCGTGATCCTGTAAATTCTGTAAGATGAGACAGCCGCCCTCCCTCACTCTTAGTTCAGGCCTTTTGGTATGGTGTTTCTTGGTGTTGCCAATGTTTGGGGGCATCCCTTGGAGAATGGATATATGGTTGGTTATGCTAGAAACCTCTTATACGCAGACTTTGTCCATTTCCACAGTTACATGTATAGCAGGAAGTTTCATCTATACCTCTAATCTAGCCTTGGCATGACAGCTGTGGTTAACTTTTTTCTAACTCATCGGAATCTGAACAGACCAAGTAATCCTGTGCACTGATTGTCTGATTGAGGACCTACAGCCTGTTCGGTTGGCTGGTTCGTGAAGAAGTACTGCTGACTGGTTTGTGTGAGAGAAAAATAATATTCTGGCTGAAAATTTACGATCGTTTACGACAAGCCACAGCCAAACGAACAAGCTGCTAAACGAGTTGTTTCGTGGTTTGGAACTCCAATTACTTGATGTTGCCCTAAATAAACTCCAAGTGGAGTTTGCCTCTTGTCTTGACTTCCATAATATCATCACCTGGGAGTTGGAAATCGATAACTGTATATTCAAGGGTTCGAAACAGTTAGCACAGGCGCTAGTAGCCGCTGTCCGCAGGGAACGTTCAGGGTGGCATCAGGGATCCGCCTTCGCGGCCGCCGCCGGTGAGGAACCGCGTGCGCCTCTCCGTTGCTTCATCACCATCGCCGCTGCCCAGCTGGCCGCGGTCACTGTCAGGAAGCAACCTCGCACTCTTGACGGGCATATGTACTTCGTGTACAACATTATAATAAACAATAGCCTAGCTTCATGGCCAGGGCAAACACAATCTACGAGATGTGATTATTTTATACCTACAGAGAATGCTTAGAGAATGCTAATTCGATCTACCTCACGTACTGCGTAGGGCGAATACCAATTTGATGTACCTCATATGCCGCATAGAATAGTGGTTAGTAGATACATACCACGCAGAGCGTTTAGCCTTGTTGTAGATCTGCCTATTTGACAGCGATGGTGCATGTAAATGTAGTGCAGATTAGTTACAGGTAGAGGTAGCAAAATCCGTTCCGCTAACAACGTCGGAGACGTCGATGTAGTCATGGTAGGGACGTCGGCATGAGTGTCGACGTCGAAGATCGGCGGCAACTTCAGCGGTGATATCGACGTAGAGCTTCTCATGCTAATAACGTGTTATAAAACATATTACCAGCGGTTAAGATATTTGCCTCTCCATCTCTCATGATCAACATAGTAGATGAAAGTAGAACATATAGACATAAGAGATTAAAAAAACTATTTTTTATTTCTCAGAATATTAATGATTATAACATAGAGCTCTCACGTACATATAAACCCTGTTCGATAGGACTTATTGCTACTGCGGACCCTATTCGACAGAACTTATTACTACTATGACTAATTTATAGAGCTGATTTGTTATATAACTAATTTGTTGTGAAAGAAAAATATTGTTTCATAACTAAAAAAATAGAACTGGTTCTAGCTGATAAGTTCAAACAAGTTCAAGCAAACATGACCATAATCCTTCCGAGCAACGTTTGGTTGGAGAGACAAGGTGGCATGTGATGGGACGGATCTGGGACGAGCAGGAGTGAAGATGTCCCTCGTGCGAATATACCGTGAGATGCGGGATGACCCCATCTCCAAAATTTTCACAGACGGGGGGCGACCTAGGTGGGATGAGCGGCTCGCTGCGAAGAAGAAAGAAGAGGAGCGTCGGTCACCGATCACGGACGGGGTCGCGGGCGAGTGCTCCGTTGCCGTTGCGGGCGAGGAAGGATAGCACCTACCTGTGGACGAGATCGATCCGCCGCGACGAGCTCGCCCGACCCAGCTCCTCTCTGCCCCTCAGACGCGTGGTCGAGCTCCACTCCAGCCCGCCCGTCGTCGAAAAGCCGGCCCGCGCCGCCGCCGCACGCGTCGCGCGCCTGCCCCCCACTGCTCCAATCTGCCGCCACACGAGCTCGCCGCTTGAGGAAGCACTCAGTGGCTGAGCTCGCCGGCGGAGGAAGTGCTCAGTGGCTCGCTAGCGAGCTCGGGGCAGAGGAGGCCCATGGCGGTGGGCGGCCGAGCTCGGGGCGGAGGACGGAAGAGGCACGGGGGGCGGGCATCAGGAGGAAGAGACAAGGAGAGAGGAAGAGATAAAGAGAAGAGAAGAAAAAAAAAAAAAAAAACTTATAAATATATTCCACTTGTCGATAGCTCATCCCACTTTTTTGTCTCTAAATCATACACAAAATGAATCGAATCAAACACAAAATGAATCGATTCCGTTCCTCGTCAACCACAGCAGAAAATGAAGCCATCCCATCCCATGCCCCGCCGTTCCACTACACTTGACTCAAACGCTACCTTAAGAGTTTTGATAAAAACCACGTACAAACGAGCTAACAAGAATTCTGAGTTTAGTAAGAGCGCTCGTACCGTAGTATTCACAGGGGGACGCAAGGAAAGCAAAAGCAAACATCACCAGACGGACCTGCCTACACCAAAGGCTTTACACTTTCTACCACCTCCTAGTTATTCCGCTTGCACGCGTGCCTGTACACACGGGGGTGCTCCGGCTGGCCGCCGGCGCCCACGAGTCACAAGGCACGCACGGACACGATCGGCTTGTATTGTACCAGGCTACCAGCCCGGCCGGAGAGCTCTCTATCTTGGGTTGTCTAGGCCTCCGTCAGCGTCCGCCGTTGGCACGTCCAGCCCAAGCAATTCGGGAGGGGTAGGCGGGTAGCTAACGACGAAGAACGCACACGACGACAAGCGACCACCGCTCGGATTGCCGACCCGACCGCCATCAGTAGCCGCTGTTGACGGGGAACACGCACGGCGGTGGCTGCAGGTAATCGCCGCAGAACCCGACGTCGTCTTCGCCTGCGCCGGTGCTATAGAACCCGCCGAAGTCGACGGCGCCGTCGCTGCCGCCGCCGCTGCCACCGGCATCAAGGAGCATCCGCGCCCTCTTGATGTTCGCTCCGTCGTCCGGCTCCGCGGCGGCGAACCCGGCGGCGTCGCTCCCGGCGCCGCCAGCCCCAGCAGTGCCGGAGACGAGGCGGCGCAGCACCTGCGGGTCGCCCGCGACCTTGATGAGGAACGCGAGCATCTGCTTGGGCCGGCGCTCCGTCTCCTGCACGCGGCGCCACATCGCGGCCACCTGCCCCTCGGTGGCCCGCTGCTCCCGCCGCAGCCGGACCACCTCCATGGCCACCGCGTGCGCGTCGTCCTCGTCCACGGCGTTTCCGGCGCCTCCGGCGCAGCCGCCGTCATCCTTGTTGCGCTTGCCGCCGTTGCCACCGCCGCTGCTCCGGCGGACGATCTGGCTGAGGAGGTGCGTCTGCCCGCGCAGGAACGACACGTGCGCGAACTCCCACCGGTCCGGATCCACCTTCCGGAAGCCCTGCAGTGTGCAAGAATTCAACAGCAGATCGATCAGGTTCACGGATCAAGAACTGAACAAACCACTTGATGTCAGTGAGAAAAAAAATGTACGTACGTAGGTGTTGAGCTGGCGCACGAAGCTGGAGAAGTTGGAGTGCTTGAAGTGCGCGGGCAGCAGCGTCTGCGAGAAGACGAAGGGGTCGGGCACGACGAAGCTGTTGTTGTCCCTGCCCCACGCGATCACGGCGTCGGTCGCCGCGTCGTCCACCATGCGGTACGTCTTGGCCACGAACGGCGCCACACAGGCCACGTCCACGCCGTTCGTCGCCATGGACCTGTTATTATCCATCAATCACACACAGTGCCGTCACGCACTGCCGCGCCGATCCCAGCAGCACGTGTGTGTGTGTGTGTGTGTGTGTACTCTCGTCGCCGCCGACGGTGGCTAGGCTAGGGTACGACCTTGGTTGCTATTTGTGGCAATGGTGGTGGGCGCGGAAAGGGAAAAGGGGAGGCGAGTAGGCGAGTGCCGGAGCCCGAGATGGCAAGGCGAGGAGGGTGACGAGCGGCATCATATACTACCAGTGGTGGGGTGGGTGCTTGTCACTTCATCTGGAGGGCGAGAGGGACAGCTGCCAAGTCAGGCCGGACGCGTGTCCCAGGCCTGGAGCCTTCCGTGGCGCACTCGCCGAGCTTGAAACCGTTCGTCGGCCGCACGGTGCCGCGGGGCCCTTTGGCCGTGCTTTTTTTTCTCGTGGCTGGATCCCGTTCTTGCTGGCGCGCGCGCATTGGGACACGGCTATACCTATACTTATAGCTATACCTACTCCGGCAGTGAAGAAATGCCCCCGCCCCCTCGGAAAAATTAAGCGCAAGACAAACTAGGTGATCTCATCATCTCTGGTAAAAAAAAATACCCCATTGAGAGACTCTAACCACCAATAAAATTATACCAAAAATTATAACATCACTAAAATATATATCTCCTGATCTTTTTTACAGGCTTCAACTCGATCCGCTTCAACGCACGTCTGGCCTGACGCCCCCACGCCCCCTCCACCACGGCGACGCGCCTCATGCATGACGAGCAAGGATCGAATCCCAGTCCAAAAAATATATACAAAAGAAAAAAGTCTCCTTTGAAAAAAGAAGTTTCCTTAGCGCCTCACGCCGGCCACCACTCGCCCTGCGCCTCATGTCACGGCGGCCGCTCGCCCTGACGCTCCTCCAATCCGCCGTCGCTGAGTCTTCCTCATGACGCTGTCGCCGAGTCTTCCTCTGCTATGCTGCTCAACGCCGCCTGCACGCGCTACCGCTGTGACGCAGTGCTCGATCTGATTCCGGGGTGAAGCCGCCGGCCATCATCACGTGCGGACGCTAATAAGACGGTGTTCATCCTGAATACAAGGCAGCAAAACGTCCACCATCAGCTGGAGCAGCCATCGACGGCCAAGAGAGCAGCCTGCTAATCTGCTACGTCTACAGCGACCAGCGAGGCCACCGACGTCGCCGCTGGTTACGGTGATCTGCGCTCTTCCCTTCACTCCCTGACTCCCTCCCTCCCGCTACCTCTTGTAAAATCTGGGCAATTCCCAGATCGTCTTTGCGTGGAAAGCGATCAATCAGCCCGTTCGCTGGTAAGTTTCTAGACTGATAAGTCTAACTGATGCTGGTTTGTTGTGAGAGAAAAGTATTGTAATTGATAAGGCCTAACTGGGCTGAATGTGTTTCAGTTCGTTAGTTCAATCATGTGAAAAGTACGAAAAATTTGCCGTCCAGAGCTCTAGCGACAGGGAAGACAGATGCGTGATGAGAACAATGGCCATTTGCTATGCTGCAGGCGCAGCTATCCGTGCGATTAGCAACAATATCTTCTTTGATATGTGTTGCGCACAAACCACTCTGATCTCAATGATTTGATAATTCAATAGTTCATATTCATGTTCTATTTTTTCATTCATGCGTCACAAACTTGTTTATTTAATTCAGTTATCTCATCCATTCCTTTAATTGTTGTCTTATGGATCTTTTTCAGCCTCTCTCGGACAGATTTATTTCAAAACGAACCCAGTCATACCAAACTGTAAACATTGTCCTTAGGGATTATCGTTTTATTTTATTATTTTCTGTAAAGCATTGATCTTCTGGTATTCGATATTTCATCAAATTAACTTCTTCTATTGCGAGCTGTCTATATTTTTTTTTGGAAGGTCCCTTGTTCATCAATAATGCCATGATCAAATTACATGACACTCAGATTGTAGTCACATGAAGAACGCTACCTGGCCATGTAGATTATGGTTTGATAGTCTGATCGGTGCTAGAATATTTTTATTACATGACATGTTTCCTTGATGTAGTAGTTATAATTGATCCTAGGTTTATTTGCCAATCTAGAAATTAAGAAGCAATTTAAATTTTTTTATATGGAATGATAAGTTCTGAAATAAAATTTATTTTTTATACTACAAATATGTCTTTCATTTACCACGAAGGGATTCTCATCGGGGTTAAATGCATCTATTTTCTCATTGGAGTTTTCTGAAGAATGAGCCTTTAGCACTCAGCAAGGCTAGATGCATCTCAATGCAGGAAGGCAATTGTTCGGAACATCGGCCATTTTTGTCGAGCAAACCATAAGTTTCCATAGTCATCGGCTTGTTTGTCCAACAAAAATTAAAGAAATCCACTAGAGATGGCATTGTCAAGCAGATGGTGGTCCTCTGATAAAATAATAGGACAGTGAATCCAGAGCTAAGGTCCTTCACTTTTGGAGGACAATGAATAGTTGTAAAACATAACATTATTCTTCTTCTAATGTTTATATGATTTTTTCCATAGACACGTGAATCTTAATGAATCTGATTGTTCGTTGTATGATAATTAGTGGAGTTGTAATATAATTGTTTAAAAAAGAAAACATCGTAATGTAATTTTAGAGAGTGGTAGTTTGTGAAATACTTTTTTCTATAGCGAGGCATAACATTTTCTTTTCTTTTTTTTTTTTTTAATACATTTAAGTCGATGTTACTAAAAAGGATTTCCCAAATCATACGATTGGTTTGCGTTGTGATATGTTAAGCTGTAATGGCCAAGTCTTAGGGTGTGTTTGGAACAGAGGAATGTAAAACGTAGGAATCGGAGAAAACACAGGAATAGGAAAGGAATAGAGGTGTAAAACAGAGAATTGAAAAATATAGGATTTTTAGAGGAATTGGTATTTGGAACACAGGAATATTAATAACATATGAATTTATTGGTTTGCAGTAAGCATAGTTGTTTAGAGTAAGATGGTGTTTGGTTCCGACGACTAAAATTTAAGAGTTGTATCGGGAGGATGTTGTATAGGGTGTTAGGATACTAATAAAAAAATAAATTACATAATCCGTCAGTATTTCATTAGACAAATTTTTTAAACCTAATTAATCCGTCATTAGCATATGTTTACTGTAGCAAAACATTGTCAAATCATGTCCTAATTAGGCTTAAAAGATTCGTCTTGCAAATTAGTCGAAAACTATGTAATTAGTTTCGTAATTAGTCTATATTTAATACTCCATGCATATGTCTAAATATTCGATGAGAAAACAACTAAAATTTAAGAGGTCCAACCAAACACCACCTAAATAAGAGCTAAATACTGCTGCTTTTTTTTTCTCTTCCTCACTGCAATAGCAGCACTCGTCATCCTGAGTTTTGATGGCGAGTAGAATGCTTCTTTTCTCCTCACTTGCCTCGGACTTCGCAAAACCACGGCTCGGAGAACAGCTGGCTGCTTTTCTCCGTTCCAAACGGTGTATGACGTTAGCAATTCCTTAAAAATTTCTGTGAAAATCCTCCAATCCAAACAGGCCCTTACGCAGGAAACCATCTTTTGTTTATTTTAGTTTCCATATAGTTCAGTTCTAATTTACATATATCTAAATATTACTGTAGCGTTAACACGAGCATTTATCCTTTTTTTATAGCAAGGTGATCTCAATACTTTGTTGGGGCCTTGTTTAGATTGCCTCAAAGTTTCAAATTTTTTCACTCTCTTCATCATATCAATTTTTGGACGCATGTATGGAGCATTAAATATAGATAAAAAAATAACTAATTACACAGTTTGGTTGTAAATCACGAGACGAATCTTTTGAGCCTAGTTAGTTCATAATCAGATAAAGTTTGTTAAATATAAATGAAACGTGCTACAGTGTCCAGATTACAAAAAAAATTGCAATCTAAACCAGGCCTGGATTGGTGTGCTGCTGCGACCGGGCAGTGGGGCGAGTTGCCCATTCGCCATTCGCCATTCCGTCGAGGCCCTCGTCAGCCGCCGGCTGCCGGGCGCTACACCGCGTCCTGGGTCCCGGCGCGGAACTGTAGCCCGACTAGTCACGTGCCCGCTGCTGCGCCTCTGGGCTCTGGCTCGCTTGGCCAGGTGGCGCCGCGCCGCGCACGGTGGCACTGCAATGCATGGCGACGCCCCTACCGCGTGCGACTGCGGCGAGTGGATGGATAGCTGCGGGTCATCTCGGGCTCGGCGGTCGCGGAGCCCAGCTGGGCGCGCCACGCGTGCCTGGGCACCCGCGCCCGTGGCCGCAGGTAGGCAGTGCCCTCCTCTCCCGTGCGCACACGTCCTCTCCGCGCAGGCGGCAGCGGCAGTGGTCGGTCTTCTCTTCGTCATGTCTGCTGGTCCTACCGCTCCTCTTCTTTATTAGCAGGTGTAGGGGCCGTGCCCTTCCGGGGACACACGTTGCCACGCAGGCGCAGCACGCCAGCACGTGTAATGTCCATAGCATAGCATGCCACTGGACGATGGCTAGCTGTTGACTTCCTTTCTCTGCAACGATCTTCAATTCAACACTACTGTAGTCCATAGCATAGCGAGGGAGGAGAGCGACAGTCTGTGTGGCCGCACTTCCTGTGGCAAAAAAAGCGGGAAACGACCGGAGGCGCTCTGCCAGTGCCAGGATATGTTCACGCACAGCTGCTGCGCTTCCACGTCCAAACGGGTCTTTTTCTGTAGGATTGGTCGCCTGGGGTCTGTGCTGTGGACACGGGGAAAGCGAAACGAGGGGAGAGGAGAGGTGCGGTGCGGTGCAGGGCGGGGCCTTGACAATTCGTGACTGAAGGGAGCCCTTCACTGCCCACCGCGAGCTCTGCGCCCCAGCCCTGTCGCTGTCGCGGTGAGAAGTGAGAAGTGAGAAGTGAGAAGTGAGAACGACGGGCTCTACGCTCTAGCGCGGTGCGCATGTCTGCCATCACGTTAGATCAGTGGTACTGGTACACACTGTTAGATAGTTTGGATTATCTAGCAGTGAATTCAGTGGATGAGTTCTTTTCTAA